AGTGGGAGAAGCTGCAACATCAGCACCACTAACTTAAGCGTTAGTGAGTCATTACATTTTGTCATATAAAGGTGTTTGTGGCACTTTGACACCTGCTGAACCTGCAAATTAAACATGGAAACATCTATGACGTCACTATATAGACACCCAGGTAGCGATCGTTACACCGACTCCGTTCGTCTCATCTGTATTTGTAATTTTAGTTTGTTTTCACCTAAGTGTGACACCAAATCCTAACATGAGACTGTTTTTAAAAAACGTTTTCAAAAGACACGCACATCCCAGGGCCCGACAGGACGGGTGCTAAATGATAGAAATAGATGGTGTAGAAAAAAAAAAGTAGATTCGCACACCAAATAGCTCCCGCCCTGCTAAAAGGATTTTCCTGCAGTGTAACATTCTTATCCGTTTGTAGTTCGAATAGTATCGACCAATCACGTTCAAGCATGTATCAATAAATAAGATTATCTCACACCAGTTTATGCTAAACAGTTTGTTAGTTTGGATATAGAAGTCCTCAATAGAGCTAAAGATCCGTCTGATTCGTGGGGTATTGTTTGACCCCTTTAAGATGGCCCTGGTGTGTATGCATAAAGTCCATGTCAATTCAAAAAGGTGCAGATATTAATTTTGCAAGCTGAAGGCTCATAACACCTGCAGAGATTGGCAAGCTCACCCAGTTCACTACAGCTTTGCTTGTTGAGGCAGAATATTGCAGACGGCATTAAGCTGTGCAAAGGGTTTACATAATCCCCCTCATTTTTCAACATAATGTTTACCCGCGTAGTGTTGGAGTACATTAGCCTGCCGCCTTATTCAGTCACTTAATATGGCCACATTTGGTCCTAAGTATTCCCCATTTTTGTGACATGAAGCTTTATTTTACTAAAACGCTTTCTATCTGTGTTTTTCAGCTGTGTGTTTCCAGATGGTGTCTTTTCATACCATATGAAAGTGTTCTTCCACCTAATCAGTTCGTCAAGGTTGCAAGCTGCGAGCTTAAAGCTCCGTTGGCAGGTTCTTTTTCCCTTTTTCTTTTTTTTTTTTATTCAACCTCGTTGATCTTTACACAGACGGCCAATTCAATACATGACAAAAAGAAAGGTAAAGAAATCAATTCAATTCTCAGTTTTGGAAGATGAGTCACGTCCATTAGCTGACAGAGGAGAGAGTAAAAGGCCTGTTGTCTTATAATCCAGACTTCGGCGTAGTCACAATGCACTTTTATTATGAGCTTTCCACCAGTGGCCACCGTGGCAGACAAATTATCGAATGTTTCCATGACGCCAACCATCGAAGTGGAAGTCCTCCTGGGATTTAGCCAGCGTGTCAGTCACGCTCCGGGATCTCACAGTCATGTCGTTGATTGGCAAGGGATGGGTGGACCAACGTGTTTCTAATTCCTTTTTTTTCATTTCAGATTCTGTTCTTGATAACACGAAGGTAGTACATTACACGACTGTCTGTTTTCTGTTTGGATATATAGGTAAAACGCCCTGTTAAAAATACATCAGTGAAAATTACTGAACCAAAGAAATAGATGAAAGAGTGGTTAAGGTGGGACAAAGACCTACAGGCATCCCCCCCATGTTGTCCATAATGGACACCTGTGCAGAATATGAAGCATATTCTATAAATACACTTCAGTTCCTCACCTTTAATCAGATGACTTGTAGCTTTAAGTGCTACAACTCAGCATCCGCTGGCGCCTGCCGGTCTTACCTGGCAGTTAGATGCAAGTAATTGCATCCTTTCCTCACCCCAGGTGTAAAATAGTCACTGATTACATGGTTGGAAGGAACGAATGCCAGCAGGGTCCTGAGTGCTGGCTGAGGACAAGGGTTGTAGAGGTACTGGTCTGGAGTTCAACGACCCCCTCCTATCCGTACATCCACTGGCTCCAACCACCTATTACTTTTCAGGTTGATGACGACACCATCCTATCTTCCCAGCATGCATTGAGCAAAGGTCACGGCAACATCCTGAACTGTAGAGAGTAGCTCTATAGGTTTAGAGTTTCAGAGGTTTTGGAAGTTATACGCAGTGTCATGAAAACTGAAATTACAATTCTCTTTAGGCAGTTTTTTCCATTAAAAAAAATGTTTTTATCAAATACAGTGTATTTCTTGCAATTCAAAGGAATGTTCAATGCTTTGGGAAATGTAGTTATTTGATTTTGCAACAAGAGTTTAAATGAGAAGATCCATATGAAGCTGCAGCCAGAGGATGATTAGCCAAGAAATAGTGAAGCCCATAACTCCCCATGAAACTGCAACTTCTTGTTTGTACACTTTTTGTACTGATTGAAAACTATAGGCTAGGCTATTTGCCCGTTTCCTGTCTTTATGCTAACGGTCTAACTGGCCGTAGCTTCATTTTTACCGTGCCGATATGAGAGTAAGATTAATCTTTTCATCTAACTCTCAGCAGAAAGTGAATAAAAGTATTTTCCAAACTGTTTCTTTAAGGTAGGACTTTTTTTTTAAATAATGCATGTCTTTATGGTATAGCTATGTTTCAAGACACTGATATTTAGTAATTCAAGCTCGCAATGTTGTGAATATTATTTTGCCTGTGCCTCGGTACATCATTTCACACCAAATGGGATGCGGATTAGATCCATACCATCCATAAGCCTTGATTGTAAGGCTGATATAAGCACCAATTTTGTTTTCTCTCAAACTAATTCAGCACTTTGAGGTTTCCCGCCGCAAATAATATAGTGTTCACTCAAGTTAAGCACTCGAAGAAGACAGCCAAATGAATGGTACAACTTTGTACAAACATTTTTTTCCATACTTATCAACACGGCAGTATTTGAGAACATGGAAGTATTGCATTTAAAAAAAGAAATAATTAAGTCAAATCAAACTGTTCACTCCGACAGCTCACAGCCATGAAGTGTGCATGTCCATGCATTAACTGTCTCCATTTGCAGCACTTGAACTTTAAGGACCGGGTATCCAAAACTGAACTGCGTTTTTTAAACACCAGGTGAGAATGATGGAGAGGGAAATCCATCCGTCCATCGTCTGAGTGCAAACACTACCATTAAGCAGATTGTTTGTGTCATTTCGCAACATTTCCGTGCCTTCAATAACTTGTATCAAAGGAATACTGCCTTTCTGTTTTGTCTCAGAATTTGAAAAGCAACGATCTTGGTCCCAATCGTGCAGCGCAGACCCAGATCATCATGGGAGAGGGAAATTATAGGAAGAAGAAAAACTTTCACTGTATACTCTGTTGTAAGTGGCGACCCCGTCCACTCAGTGCTTCATCTTAACGCTTCTCCATCCGGCAGCTGCTCTTAATGAAGACACTTCAAACACTGGAGGCTGTGACGAGACTAGTGTGGACATGGCCTGAGGAGCTGCGCGAGTGGTTTTAATGGAAGAAACTCAATCCCGCACTTCCCGTTGTGCAGCGTTTTTCATTAGAAGCTCCATCCCGGTAAATGCCCATGTCTTTCGTACTTCGCGTAATGTACATTTCTAGTCTTGAAGTCTGAGCCGCAATTTGAGTAATTTTCTTGAACAAGCGCCTGCAGAGGAAAATAACACAATACACGACTGTTTCAAACACACATGTGAAATCGAGTGGCAAGTCAGGTGATGCGCATACTTTTCTTGTTGTTGGCTGAAGGCACTCAGTGCATGTTATGGCCTTTGTAGAAGCCGTTGCAGCCGTGAGGCTTATTGGTTATTTAAACCCTGAGAGCAAACAACACAGCCTGCCCTCCCTGTGCCTTATTCCTCATAAAGCTCCGGTTAAACTATTAAAAGCGCATTAAGAAGCAGCAATGTTGCACTGGCTGAAATGTTCCTTTAAAACTAATGCTGCTGGAAATACGCTTTAAAAATGTGAATTCATCCGCAGCTGAAAATAGTCCCCAACAAATACACTACGTCTGTTAGAGTAACACTTGATAAAAACCACAGAGCCCAGCTCTTTAAGTAAATTATGGAGCTTTTTTTCTTTTTAAATTAAAGTTAACATTTGTGACCTGTTTTTAAAGATTTACATCTTCAATAGGAAGCAATGGGTTTGGGTCTGAGTGCCACAAGCAGGCTGAGGAAGTTATGGAAAATATTAAAAGATCGACAAACACACTTGGTTTTAGTCTTTTCATGGTATTTGTTGATAATAACAAAAGAAGAAAACGAGTGGCCAGCCATATTATGACTCCTATATCACTAGAAACGCAACTCGACCTCGGGCAGTGTGAGTATTTGTGTGTGTTATGCTAGCAGCGGCTAATGTAGCTTCAAGGGAACTCAGTTTGGTGAGCTCAATTCTATGCTTGCAGATTTTTTTATTTTTTTATTTTCCAACTAAGCATTAAAATAATCTTGTCTCCTGAACCGGTGAGGTCAGCCTCAGCAGATCAGGTCAAGCAGCTGAGTATGTGTTTGTTACTTGAGTTAGTGTTGGATCTAGAGGCAGCTTAAAGGTTAGAGTTAGAGAATGTTGTCGCCATGTCATGGGGCCCAGTAGACGGCACAGATCACCTAGTGGACAAAACATCATTAAACATAAATACTGAGCTAATCATCACCCAACGTTTGACTCATTTTACTGTGTGTCGATAAAGGTAGCAGAGAGGTGTAACGATTAAAAACGACTGAAATTGGGGTTTGAGTAAATGAACAGATTAAAGTATGTGGATCTTCAGTAAATATATTATTTATTGTCTTTTACACCTGTTAAGGTGCCAGCTAACACATCACATACACCACCTTGTATGATGTAACACCACTTGCACGTTTCAAACTCTTTCGCTCGTGGCTGCCGTGCCTATAGAGACCCTCTGTGTTGTTTGGCACTAGAAA